GTATGAGTATGATCATATGAGTAAGAGCCTGAGATTGATGCGTCTGAGGTCAGGGTATGAGTGAATCAGGATGCGAATTTTAAGTGTGAGTGGCCTGGGTGCCTGGGTATAGGAGGGACGAAGGGGGAGGAGAGTGGGAAGGAGGAGTGCGGCGGAGACACCACACTCATTGGTCAGAAGAGCAGCGTAATCATGATCAGGGCAATGTAAAAGAAATTCGATCCTCGACTTCCCAGGCTCGGGACAGCTCCAGAGGCCTCCGGAGATGCCCAGCAAGGTATAGGGACGCCCTGAAACCTCGATCCTCGAACGGGCAGAAGATCCTCGAAGAGGGGACCCAGGACCCTCGAACGGTCAGAAGACCCTCGATCCTCGAACGGCCAGAGGATCAGTGGGGGGACGAGGTTCGAGGAAATCCTGCAAGAGCGCGCAAGCCGTCCGCGAGAGCGCGCAGACGGGCCAGCAACAAGCTGGACAGCAGGTCCGATGGAAAAGAAAAGAAGCCGCAATGCCTGTTTTTATGTTGACTGCTCAGCGCGTCCCCTGACACCTGGGGCTCTGCCTTTTTAGACTTAGGTCGGGCCTGTCCCCCTGCAGGCGGATTTTGGACGATTTGTTTTCGGAAAAAAGCAAAAATACTCAAGAATAGGCAAAACATCGTCCTCAGACTATTTTTTGATTATCTTTGAATATTCCTCCTGAAGAGGGACAGGCTCGACTTAAGTTTAGATGCGTGGGCCCCTGGACCTCTCGATCTCTTCCTCAAGGCCGGTGTTTCATCACGAGCCGTTTCTTGGACGGCCCCGAAGTGCGAAACCTGCCTCCACAGACCCCGAGCGGCGAGACAAGCCGTCCGCCTCGATTCTCCACGAGGCGCCAGATGAAGGAGAACATTTTTTTGTTCGCTGCGAAAGCGGGCGTCATGGGGGGGCGGGGGGGGCCTGGGGGGGGAAGCATAATGTAGTAACGCCCCCCCCAGGCCGTCCGTGTCAGGTGCCACAAACTGTGGTGCAAGACGCGCTGCTGCAGTGCCGGGGACGGACGCACTGGGAGGGGAGAAGCGCTATGGGGGACGTTATGGGGGGGAGGGGCGGGGAGAAAGAGGTGGGGGCACAACGCGCGTTATGGTCCAAAGGAAAAGAATCACAACCAAGAGGAGGAGGAGGTGGAGGAGGAGGAACCCAGCGTAAGAGGGGAACGTCGATCCTAACCTCAAAACTCAGACGCACCCACGGGCGGGGGCAGGGCCAACGGCGGGCCGGCGGGCGGCAGGGGCGGAGGCCTCGCCGACGCCGACGCCCGCGGAAGCGAGACGGCCGCGGCGCAAGGCTGCGACCGCGCGCGTGGGCGTGCGAAAGTCCTGAGCGATTTATGACCGAGATTAATTAATCTCGGTCGCGAATTTTGCGATACATCCTCAGAAATCTGGGGAGGGGAGGACGGCGGGGAAAAGCGGGGCGAGGCCGACGGGTGGAGCGAGGGAGACGGCGACGGGGCTTTTCCCGCAGGGCACTCATATGTGGAGGAACATGCAGGCGCAGACGTCGATGGCGGCGCCCTTAGAGATCCCGACGAGCACGAAATCGGTGAAGGCGAGGAGGCTGGGGGACAGGAAGCCGCCATTCGAGAAGCACCCCAGGACGACGGGGACGAAGGAGGCGCCCTCTGAGCCGCAGAAGAACGCGAAAGCGGCGCGGGCGAGGAAACTGGGGTACAGGAAGCCGCCGAAACCGGCGGACCGCATGCCGCTGGAGCCTCCGAAGTCGCTGTCTGGAAACACAATGTGGCCAACGACGTCGACGCGATGGCACTCTGAGAAGAGCAGGAGGGAGGGGCGACACCAGGATCCAGGGCGTCATGGACGGGAACCAAGTCGAGGTCCTCGGGGTCGGTCGCGATCTCGGTCGGCGCGGTCGAGGGCGAAGAGACCTCGGGCGTGATTCCAACTGCAGGGCTCGGGTGGCGCCGAGACGACGGCGGCGGAGAAGCCGACGGCGAGGTGGCCAATGGCGCGAGGCGCATGGACGAGGTCGAGGACGTGCTGGTCGAAGTGGAGGAAGAGCTCCGTGCAGAAGAGCGGCCGCGTCCTGGTCGTAGCAGGATCTGATCACGGGCAGTCATCCTGGCGGGGCGAGCCATCGCCGCCGAACGCACGCACGCCAAGGCACAGGATGCAAGCTCAGCAGGCGAGAGCGGCCAGCACGGGATCGTGCGCGCTAAGTTGTAAGAACCATACGCGGCGGCCATGTAGTTGAAGGCGGTCAACGACGGCTCGATCAAGCCCCAGCGGCGAAGGACTGGAAGAGGGACAGGCCGCGCCAGAACACGCTGTAGAGCACGGCGTAGAGGACGGCAGCGCGCGTAGCGGCACAGGGAGTCGGGAGAGGCTCGACACCCGAAAGCGCAGAGTCGCTTGCCGAGCGGGCGCAGGATGCGGCGGGACGTCATCCAGCCATCGGCCCAGGTCCGCAGCACAGCCCACGCCCACGAGCAGGGACAGGAGGCCAGCACGGCGGCGATCCGTTCCCACGGTAGCTGAGGGAGGAGCACGGCGTGGCGAGGCAGGAGCTTCCCGAGGCGGTGCTGGAGGAGGGTCACCAGCGGGGACGCCGAAGGCGCCAGCGCACGAAGAGCAGCATGAGCGGCACGCTGAGGGCGGGCGCGGGCGCCAGCGGGAGAGGCCAACTCCGCCCGGGCGGCAGCGGCCGCCACAGCCGGCCACGAAGGAGACCGCGTAGACGAGGGCGAGCCGACGGCACCGCCAGCCGCAGCACGCTCCAAGGTCTCCACAAACGCCTCGGACTGCCAGAAGTGCGGGCACAGGCGCTGCGCGGCAAGCATCTCGAGAGCGCGCCAATCGTCGCGGGCGGCCACAGCAGAGCGAAGCCGCGCCAGGATGGGGGCGCACTGCGGGAAGGTGGCCAGCGCCGCGCGGGCCAGCGACGCACAGCTCAGAAACGCCCAGCGCGCGATGCGGGGGCCGCCCCACGAGCGCAGCAGCAGCCAGCAAGAGAGCGGGAAGGTGCCCAGCGCCACACGGAAGACCTGCGCCAGCACCGTGAGCTCGAGGCGCAGGAGCGAGGGCGGCATGTTGCAGAACTGCGCCACATACGAGAGTGTGGGGACCGCTCGTGTGCAATAAAGGATGGCCGAGATGCTAGGTGGGGTTGCCCCACGGCCGATAGCTTGAGCCCGATGCTGCAGCTTGGCCACGGGGGCTCGCCACTGGCGCTCGAGGGTCACGGCGGGGCCCAACCGTCGGCCCAGATACTGCCACTCGGCGACGATGCCAAAAAATGGCAACCCAGGAACCCAACGACGCAGCTGAGCAGCCACCTCGGCCGCAAGCGAGTCCGAGACCTGGCCCGAGAGGGGGACTGAGAGGCACTCGGAGAGCTCGAGGGGCAAGTTGGCGAGCAGGTCAGCCATAGCCATCACTCGATGCACAGGGAGGAGGTCCGCGACAGACCGCGTGGCGCCGCCGATGTCGTCGGCGCAGGCCCGCGCAAGGCCGCGGCCAGAGGGCTCAAGAGCGCACCGGGTCCTCGAGGAAGACCGTCTTCGAAAGCGCGAAGAGAGAGCCCGAGAGAGCACGCCCCTGAAAGATCCCACTCCGAATCCAGAAGATCGGGGCGAAGTTGCCGCGCGAGGAAGCGACGCCGTCGATGGCCAAGTAGAGGAAGGACACGAAGGCCAGGAAGAAATCAGGAATCCCCAAGACCTGAAGGATGAAAGCCATGAGCTCCTGATTTAGGGGCGGGAACGCCTGCCCGAAGTCGGGCGAGAAAAGCAGCGGGATGTCCACCGCTCGAGGGGGCGCCAGGGGGGCTCGCGAGCATGAGCGTCCAACTCCAAAATGTTGGCCCCGAAGTTCCGACCCCCGACGAAGCCGCGCTGGCACGGTGGGGCCACCTCACGGACAATAGGCTGAACGGCGCGGTTCATGACCGAGGAGAGGAGCTTGATGTCAGTGTTGCGCAACCCCAGCGCGCGAACTTTACCGGGGGACCGAATGCGCCCTCCCTCTCGCAGCTCCGCGTCTGTGACCGACCTGGGCAAGAACGCTTGGATCGTAACCGAGGAGGCATTATTAAACAGAGCCTGGCCGTCGCCAATCCAGTCCAGAGCAGACGCCAAGACGCGCAACCCAAATGGAAGAGCAGACCACGCAGCATAAGGCAGTCCGTCAACGCCAGGAGCCGAATCATGAGCCGCATTAAGGGCCCGGCGCAAGAGACCCAAAGTAGGCGGCGGGATCTCCGAGGTGCCCACATGGGAAATCCATTTGGGAACATAATCACGAGCGGCCTCCAGGTCCCACGGCTTGCGAGAGAAGACGGGCTTCCAACAGGCCGCAAGGGCCTCCAACCTAGCAGCAGGATCCTGCGCCGCCAGCTCATCGGACACGCGGATGGATTAGAGAGAGATCGAACGTGAGAACGGATACCACAAACGTGCCTTCCTGTCGAGCGCCTGAAGCTGAAGACGAGTAGCGCGGGCAGAGCGGGGACGAGACAGCTGAGCTTCGAGAGCTTCGCGGCGAAGCGCGGCGGCATCACGTTGCACGTGCGCAGACCATTCGGTTCAAGACGGTGGGTGGAGCAAGAGAACCCGAGAACCTCGCACGGCCAAGTGATCCTTCACAACCGGGTGGGATTCGAGCATCCGAAGCGCCAACTTCACAGATTGCCTCCAGATCACACGGGCAATCATCCCCGAGACTTGGAGCACCGTGTCTGCACAATCAGGCCGCTCACGAAAGAGAGATAATCACGAACCTCAGACGCAGCCGCGCGCATGAGGTGCGTGTAGTGTTCCAGCTGAGACGGCGCCGACATCCCTTCTCGCTGAGCAGAGGCAACCAATCCCTTCAGTCGGCGAGCAAATCGAGGGTTATGGCATAGATGACGAAGGATAGGGCGAGACGAGGCACGGCGAGCAGAGCGTGACGAGAGGGGCACGATGACAGCAGTGTGGCCGAATATTTTTGCATCGGACACCGCGGCCGCCGACCCCACCGTGGCCGTGGACAGCTGCATCTGACAGACCTGCCAGCCCTGCAAGGACAGGAAGATACGGTCGAGCACCTTCGCCTTGCCCGTCGCGGACTCGAAGTGGGTCGGCTCGCTGCCCTGCACCTCGAGCATCGCGTCGAAGACAGAGCGCCACGAGGGCGCACCAGCATGGTGACGACGGCCACCACGACGAGACGCCACCGTCGGTGCAATCAAGTGCAGCGCGGACTCCTCAGAGATGTCGAAGTCGCCACTCACGATCACCAGGACCTTGGAGGGCTCCTCCGGCGCCAAGGCGAGGGCGTGGCGAATCTCGGAGCAGACCCGCCGAATCTCGGACTGCCGTAATGCATGGTTGAGAATGTTGAAGATGTAGATGCGGCCACGCGCAGCCGTGAGGGTCACCAGAAGAGCACGCCCAGGGACCAGAGGGACCCGCCCGACGCGAACCTGGTCTTCTGGGAGGTGAGCAAGAGGAAACCAAAACAGCAACGCCGCCACGAGCACGATCACCAGGAGCAGACCCGCAGAAGCTCGAGATGACGGTGGAGTGCGGCGAGACGCGGCGGACGAATTGCTCCAGCTGGAGGGCATCCTGGTGGATCTCCTGCAGGGAGACGATGGTCTTGTCGAGGCCGAGCTTGGAAAGGTAGTTGCGTTTCAACGCCGCCTTAGCCACAGCGGCTTGCAGAGGAGCTCTGCGGTTCCATGTAGCCACTCGCATCGCAGTGGCATCCCCCGCGGGAAACCCGCGACAGCGCGAAAGCAGGGCCGTCGCATCAAAGACACCACACGGACTCGTCTGAGGGCGTGGTGAGGAAGGCGGTGATCTGCTGAGCCCGCTCCTTGGAGATGTCGTGCTTCGCGAGCTTGGCCACGTCCCAACGAAGAGAAGGGGGGGGATCACCAGCCGCCACTTCCACCTTGAGCACCTTGTCCCAGCCGGTGGACAGGGGGCCGCGCTCACGGTCGGTGAAGAAGCGGGCCGACGGGAACTCGGCGGAGAAAGCCGCACGGCAGCGGCGCTGCGTGTACTCGATCTTGACCTGCTTGGGCGACTTGTCAGGGCCAACGTGGACGAGGGTGCGGTCGCTGGCTCCGGGGAGCTCCGCATAGACCTCCTTCCATCCTTGGTCGTTCTTGAGCGCGGCCGGCGCACGAAGCACCTTACGGGAGGCAGGCTGGACCAGGCCCTTGAAGTGGACGGCAAAGCGCTTGCGCGGGAGGGTGCCCTTAGGGAGGACGTCGCATTCGTCGTCAGAGAAGCCCGCATCGGAGAGGAAGCGGCGCATGCACGCCGCCACGGCCTCGAGGGAAGTCGCACGATGGGCCACCGCAGTGAGGAGCGTGGAGTCGGGGTCCCTGTCAAAACCCTGAGGGACCTGAGGCGCGGGTTGCGGACGCTGTTCAGCAACAGCCAGGTGCCGACGAAGATCCTCCAGCTGGCTGCGCAAAGCAGCAAGCTGGTCATCATGATCGCCGAAGCGACGCTCGCACGAGTCGATCTGCTGCTTGTGGTGATCAATCTGGGACTGCAGGCGGCGCGCCAGCGCGTCCACCTGGGGGCGCACAGCATTCTGGACCTGCTGGTCGATGGCGGCCGACTGTCCAGAGACCTGCTCACGCAGCTTGTCGATGGAGCTGAGCAGGATCGAGTGGTTCTCCGCCACGGTGGCACTGATGGACTCCGAGACGGCCGTCGTGAGCGAGGTCCGCATGCTGTCGAACTCATCCCTACAGAGTTGGCGCAAGTAGTCGTCACTGGTACAAGCATCAGCACCGTCCATGTCATCAGCCGCCCCAGCGGATTCGTGAACAGGACGTTTGCGAGGAGGAGGCACACCACCCTTGCCACCCTTGCCACGACCGAGGACTTGGGTGGAGTCCTGGGACGGGAAAGTCGGCGCCTGCTCCAGTTGCTCCACCAGAGAGGCGGGGATCTCACCCGCGGGAGCGCCATCAGCCATCACGAGTGAAGGCGAAAGGACGGGAGGTGAACAGGCGGGGGCCCAACTCCCGCGGTGAAGGCACAGAAGGACAGCCAGGCACGAAGAGACTGGGCTGGAGAGTGGCCTCAAAGCGGAACCTCCCTCGCGCTCAGATGTCGCCCCGAGAGACTTGCGGTCGTCGGGACGGTTCATTGCCTTGAGCCAAAATGGCTACGGAGGTGGAGGAGGAGGCGGAGGAGGAGGAGGACGAGTTTCTTGTCCTTGCTCGACGAAGCAGGTGCGAGCGGGCCTCTCTCCCTGATTGAAACATGTGGTAGCGAGCCAGGGCAAGCCAACATCACAGGACGCAGCCAGATGAGCCTCCCGCTGAGGGTGGTGGTGGAAGATGAGCAGGGGGAGGGGCGGAGGAGCCGAGGGAGGAGGAGGAGGAGGAGGAGGAGGAGGAGGAGGAGGAGGAGGAGGAGTGGTGGTGGAAGATGAGCAGGGGGAGGGGCGGAGGAGCCGAGGGAGGAGGAGGAGGAGGAGGAGGAGGAGGAGGAGGAGGAGGAGGAGGAGCAGGACCGACCCAGACCCCCGACGGTCGTGATTCTCTCGCAGCGCAGGCCCGCGAACATCTGGACCACTTCCCCAAGACCCGCTCATCATCCTGAACACCTGTTTGACGGGCCCGGTATGCCTGGTGAGGACCCCCTGGGAGACGAGAACGGCCAAAGCATCCACCTATCATCGTGAACATGTTCTCATGGATCTGGCGCCTGGTGAGGGACCCGGGAGGGCGAAGATGGCCCAAACCTCCCGGCGTGACTTTGTTCACGACGCGGGGAGGTCTGAGTCTCGGGCCAGAACCTGGCGTGACTTTGTTCACGACGCGGGGAGGTCTGAGTCTCGGGCCAGAACTCGGACCTCTGGCGGCCGTTCGGGACGACCCACCCCCAGAGCGCCCTCGGAGAGGCGCAGCTGCTGGAAAGCGTCCCGAGGCTGGAACACCTTCTGGCATCTACGAGGACTCCCGAAAACATCGAACCTCGAACGCTGCCCACGACATCGGGAGCCTGGGCGCGCTCATCCCAACGGGGGGCCAACCGCCAAGCTTCGAGTAGGGGCTCGACTACGGCATCCAGCTGTCCCACGACTCATTTGTCCGCCGAGCCTGCGAAACACACGCGGCATGCTCCGCAGATCTGCGGAGCATATCCGACGCATCCTTCGTGGGCTCGACGGAACAAGCCACTCTGGGCCTCGCCGCGCCCACCCTGCAGCCGAAATCCCCTGCCCGAGAGCCGGAGCGCGGAGGCGGCACGGGCCTGGGCCGCCGCCGCCCGCCGCGCAGCACGAGGACGAGAGCCCGGGGAGCCTCAGGGCGCTGCGCGCCGGCACCAGCCACTCGGGGACCTGCCGGCGCGCGCGCGGGGCGGCCCGAGGCCCTCCCATGGCCGCGGGGCCTCGGGCAGCGAGCGCCCTCCGCGGCGCGCGGCGCGCGGCGGCCTCCGCGCAGGCCAGGCGCTCTGGCCCGGGCCGCGCGAGGCGCGGTGGCCCCCGCGCCCCCGCGGGGGCCCCGGAGGCTCGAGGCTCCCTCGGACGTCTCCTGCGCGGCGGAGGCCAGACCGCTCCCCGGGGAGGGCCGCCAGAGGTCCAGGCTGTGGCCCGAGGCGCAGACGTCCCCGCGTCGCGGAGCGGAGGCGACGGCGGGCACGTCTGGGGAGCGGTCCTCGGGGGCCCCAGGGGCCGTCAGACGACAGCTCCCCAGGCATGGTGGCGTCGTCAAAAAATCAGGACGGGAGGTTTCTCGCTGTTTTCGGCCCCTGGGGGCCTTCGCCGGGCCTCGGGGCCGTCAGAAAACGACTCAGGATGAAAAACCGGCCCCAGGGAAAGGGTCTGGACTTCCAGGGACGCCGTCCTGAAATCAGGACGACGCATGTCTGGGTCAGGAGGGAAGGACGCCGGTCCCCGAGAGGAAAGTGGCCGGGACCTCTGCACGGGGGGCCCACGCAGAGAGCAAAACCACGACTTCCGAGGCCCTGCGGCATCGTGATTTTTGTCGCAGCGTGGGGTTCGGGCTACAACAAGGTTCTTGTCGTGACGACCCCGGCGTTGGTTTCTGACACCGCGTGGATCGTTCGACCCTGAAACGATCGGCGGCAATTCGATCGCCAGATCGTTCCAAATGGGCCGGTTCCTGGCCGATGGCAGCGATCAACCTTGAACGCCAGCGCTTCTGTCGCCGCCACGTCGACACGACACGAACCTAACGTGCTGCTTCGCGTCCATGTCGCTGCTGGAACAAGAAATCACTCGACGCGGAGATCCACAGATGTTCACCTCATTTCCTGGCACGTCCAGCCGTGAGTGTCTGGCCGTGGGCGTCTGGGTGCGAGAGCGAGTCCAAGAATTCGACGGGTGCGACGACGACGACGACGACGGCGGCGGCGGCGGCGGCGGCGGCTACGATGAGGGACAGCCGGGACAGCGACGACGACAACTCACAGACAGACAGACAGGTGGTAAGCAGGCCCCATCCCTTCTCCTTCCTCTTCCTCCTCGTCGTAACCCCCTCCCTTCTCTTCCTCCCTCCCTTTTCCCTCTTTCTGCGTCCTCCTCCGTCCTCCGACCTGGCGGCCGTCCTTCTTCCTACATCGATGTGATCATGAGGCTCTGAATGGACAGGGGTCGGAGGTGCAACACCGAGCGCCTCGCTCGATACATCCCCCACGTTCTAGACGCCTGGGGTGCTGAAACCAGCGCCTCGCTCGACAAATCATCACAATATGTTCCGAAAGCAAAAGAGTCCCGGTCGCAAAACAAGCGCCTCGACCGGGACATCCTCACGATCTGCTCTGAAAGCAGAAGAGTCCCAGCCATGAATTCTCTGAAAGCAGTGGAGCCGCGGCAACAAAACAAGCGCTTCGATCGGGACATCCTCACGATCTGCTCTGAAAGCAAAAAAGCCCCAGCCATGACTTCTCTGAAAGCAGTGGAGCCCCGGCCACAAAACAAGCGCCTCGATCGGGACACCCTCACGATCTGCTCTGAATTGAAGGCGAAGGAGGACGAGGAGGAGGAGGAGGAGGAGCGTCCCAGAAAGGGTCCCAGCCACGAAGTGAGCAAACCGCGCGAGACATCCTCACGCTCCGGCCGCGAACGGGCGCAGGCAACATCCCCCGGCGGTCCCCCCCTCGGGTGCTCAAGTGGAGCGTCCGAGCACGAGTGCCCGAGAACGAGTGAACTGGATGGCGGTGAATCCGAGTACAGTCAAACATGTGACTAGAAAAATATCAATTAAGAAGGCTGGGCCAGTTTTTCAGAAGTTTCGTAAGGACACGCTGGGCCAGCTTTTGGAGCCAGGAACGTACACGATTCATTTCTAGGATCCAAGGCTACTGAGCCAGCATTCTAGCAAGTTGGTTAAGAAACGCTGAGCAACGCTTTTCGGGAGGAGGTGTCTTAATCAGATGCTCGACTGTATGACTGAGCATAATTGGATTAAACGTATGTGGTTATGGGTATGAAAGGGTCAGGTTCCGCAGTGGTATGAGGCAAGAGTGTGAGTAGGCCTGTTAGCGTGTCTAGTAAGTATGGACGGTCTGTGCAAGAGTGACTCCAGGTATGAGTGGGTCTAAGTGTAGGTAGGCATGAGCGTGCGTGAGTCTGCGTCTGTGGGTGTGAGTGAATCTGAATATTAGTGATCTGAATATGCTGAGTGGGAAAAAGAAGCGGGAGCGAGGAGTCGCATGCGGAACCTCATGCTCAGCATATGTGGGGAAAACTACAAACATATTATTCTGAGCTTGGAGTAGATTTCTTGGACGGAAGCTGGATCCCCCTGGCGGTGCTTCCGACGCCGCCCCTGGCGCGCTCCGCGCGCCAAAGAGGGGGGTCCAGCAATCAAGACATCCGCGTGGAGCTCAGAATGTTGTACATAGTTATATATATACACATATATATATATATATATATGTATAACATAAAACATGTTACGCTGTTTCGCGTTCTCCGGTTCACTTAGCCATCTCAGCTGTTGCATGTTGAATGATTTTTTTGCTAAGGCCATCTCGCCTGAGTCGGACGCTGCCGCCGTTGGTTGCTTGAGTCGGTGTGGCGCGAATGGATGAAGATGAGTTATTGTCTTGTTTTTTTGGGCGATGGGGGCAGAAACCATAGGAGGAGGAGGAGGAGGAGGAGGAGGGGGAGGAGGAGGAGGAGGAGGAGAGGGAGGAGGAGGAGGATGAGGGAGACCGATGAGGACGACCGAGGAGGAGAACGATCGAAGAAAATGATCGAGGAGGGGTATCGAAGCGGGGGGGCAAACACCGAATGATTGCTGACATTGCTGGCTGGTTGAGCGCTCAAGCGGTCCGCTGACTCAAAAAGGTGTGTGTGTGTGGGTGGGTGGGTGGGTGGGTGGCTGCGTGCGTGAGTGTGTGCGCGTGCGTGTGTGAGCGAGTCCACTCCCGCCTCCCCTAACCTAGCGGTCCCTGGGCTTCCAGCCCAGGGCCGCCACCTTCACTGGCGGTCACGCGCTTTCCACTCGCCCCCTGCGGTAGTTCCTCGTCTCCTCTCCGCCATTCCCTGCGCCCGTCCTGCCCATCCCTTCCTTGCCACTTGACCCATTCGGTCCTACCTGCGGGCTCTGCGCCTCGCCGTGTCCTGTTCGCGCAGTCGGCGCAGGCCTTTTCGGCACCGCCCGGCCTTTCTTCTTCGCCCTTTTCTTTCGTCCCTCCCCCCGCAGCCCACGCCCGGGCGTGCGCATGGCACGGTTGATCCCTTCGGGTGGGTTCCTGGCACCAGCTTCCGAGTGAGTCTTTCCTCTGAGAACCGGGTTAAGATGACAAAGGAATTAAGATCTCATGTTCACTCTGCTCAGGGAGAGAGGGGACAGGATGAGACATCGATAAAACAAGTATCCGTTAAACAAGATTACTCTATCAGGAATGTGAAGGGAGAAGGCCAGCTGGCCTACGACCGACGACGCGCGACGGCCGAGGGCTGGCGCGCTCCTTTTCTCTCCTGCAAGCCAAGAC